TGATCCCTTTCTTGAGTTGTACCAACTAATTTAGACCCCATCTTTGTATATGTACAGTTAGGATTATGCTTTACAATGTGCATTACTTTGCATTTATCAACATTAAATTTCATTTTCCATTTTTTTGCCCAGTCACCGAGTTTTGTGTGGTATTTTTGTAGCTCTTTGCAGTCTGCCTGGGACTTAACTATCTTGAGTAGTTTTGTATCACCTGCAAATTTTGCCTCCCCCGCACAGTTTACCCCTTTTTCCAGATTGTTTATGAATATGTTAAATAGGACAGACCCCTGGGGAACCCCACTATTTACCTCTCTCCATTCTGAAAACTGACCATTTATTCCTACCCTCTTTTAACCAGTTACCAATCCATGAGACAACCTTCTCTCTTATCCCATAACATCTTATTTTGCTTAAGAGCCTGTGGTGAGGGATTTTGTCAAAGGCTTTCTGAATATCTAAATACACTATATCCACTGGATCTCCTTTGTCCGCATGCTTGTTGACCCCCTCAAAGAATTCTAGTAGATTGGTGAGGCATGATTTCCCTTTACAAAAACCATGTTGACTCTTTCCCAACAAATTATGTTCATCTATGCATGTGACAATTTTATTGTTTACGATAGTTTCAGCCAATTTGCCCGGTACTGAAGTGAGGCTTATTAGCCTGTAGTTGCCAGGGTCACCTCTGGAGACCTTTTTAAAAATTGGCATCACATTAGCTATCCTCCAGTTATTTGGATGGATGGATAGATAGATAGATAGATAGATAATCTGATGGCATTGACTCCAGTGTAGCTATGGCTGATTTACACCAGGTGGGATCTGGCCCCATTAGCTCCAAGCATGTTTTAAGCCAAGTACATCTCTTGATGCTTGTATAAATGTTAATATTTACTGATATTCTTTTTCATTGAGACCCAGGCATCTGAGAGATGAACAACAACAAATGAAGATCCTTCTGAAACCCACCATGCCAGACCCAGCCAAGGAAGCCAGTTAAGGAAAGAAAAAACAAGCAACTGTTGTAGGGGCTATGGGTACAATTTTCAAAAGTGCCTAAGTGCCTTAGGAGCCTATGTTCCATTTTCACCAGTGACTTAGCCACTCTCATGAGAGTTAAGTGCCTCATCTACCTGAGCACTTCTGAAAATCCCACTGGGCACTTATCTGAATCTCTTGGCACCTAAATACCTTGGAAAATGTGGCTCCCAATCACTTTTGAAAGTGGGGGCTTATGCACTTTTGAAGACTCCGCCCTATCTCTTTTACTGTTTTAATCATGCCAGAAGTACTATGCAGGCATCAGTGACACCTTC